GTTGCTGTTGTTGTTGTTGTTGTTGTTGTTGTTGTTGTCGGCGGTGGTGCTACTGCTGCTGCTGCTGCTGTTGCTGCTGTCATTGCTGCTCCTTCTGCTGTAACTAATCGTTGTATGAAATTTCATCAAAGAAATTCTAGCTTTAAAGCTCTTGTACTACTCTCTTCCATTATCAATCTAGAGCGCTGTCTTAGCAAATTAACTAGAACAGTTTTTTTTTTTGTTTTGTTTCGTTTTGCCTTGTTCAGAATTAAATACCACATTTATTGGCAATGAATTTGGCTTTCTCTTCATTCATCCTTATGCGAGGCGATGAATCGCCAGTTACGAAAACTTACTTTACATGCTGGTGGATGGAATTTTTTTCTAATTAATAATGACGTTTAATCTGAGTGATTTTTGACATGCTCAACTGATTCGATAATCTGCTTGATGATATCTCGATATTTTTTGCTCGGGTTTTATTAGTGGCTTTCTGTAGTAGGATAATTACAATCTGTTTGGTGTTAAAGCAGCGAAGATCTGTTAAATACTTGAAAATTTTTAAATAATGGGTATGTAATACCCACGATTAATTAAATGATAACTTTTCTTATCTTTTCAACTGATAACACTGTAAATGATTCAAAAAATTCAGAATCAGACGGTTTTTTAACTGAAAACGGTGCTTTAAAGATTCTAGACAGAGAACTGAGTAGGTTAACTGCTGCTTTTTTTAAAGCTTCTTTCTAGCTGTACGACTGTTCTTCTTCTTGATCTCATTTATTGCTTTCTTTTTCTTTTCGCAATTATTAGTTTTTTACTTTGAAACATTTTTATTGCTAACCTCTCAAATGAATGTTTCTTATGTTTAGTATAAATGGTTTTGTTTTGTTTTTTTTTTCTTTAATAAGATAAGACGCTGTATACTTTGTCAAATTAAGGTCTATTGTACTTTTTTTTTTCCACTGAGCTGTAAAAAAAAGAAGAAAGTCTTTTTTTTTGGAACTTAAAAAAAATGTTCCTGAAATGACACATTTGTTATAAGCTTAGCAGCTGTTCTCTGAACTTAACGGATTTCCAGTTATTCAGACCTAAGATTTCTTCAGCATACAATTGTATGGATTTTCCCTCGGCACAAACAACGAAGGAAAAAAGTGATGCTTTCTTCTTTATGTTTTGTTGTTACAACGTTTTAATCGCGTAGGCGAAAAATTGCATTGTTTTCAACGTATATTAAAAGCATTAAACGAAAAAAAACGGCTCCTCTTTTCCACATTTTTTTCCATGGCTTCCAATTAAACAGCTTTTTTTTTGTTGTTCGAATACCGACAATCAAATTTACTCAAAGCTAATAATTTATAGTGATGTAGACTAATGTTAAATTTAAAAACCATCTGATAAAAGTTTGTTATTTGAGCAAAGAAGTTCTGTTAGTCTTGGAAATGTTTTTTAACAGTTTTCAAAACCCCAGATGAGTTCTGAGAGCAAAATAATGCTACAATTGTTTGCTTTCTTTATGTTTTTTAAGTTATCTCCTAGCAGCAAACTTAGTTTAGCGTCAAACGGCTTTGACTAAAACTGTTACAAAATTTGGAATTTATCGATATAGATAATTACACTTCATAGTCGGTTGTAGTAAAATTTATCATAACTTTCAAGTCTGAAAGTCTAGTCATGAGCTGACTTTTGAACATTAATTGAGGATGGTCTTAAAAATTAAAAATATTTTCTCTTTGATAGTATATTTTAAATAATCTCAAATTACTTTAATCTGCTACCATCTCAAATAAATTTCTTGAACGTTGTCGATGGTTATTGGAAGTAAGTCATCTGTAACTCTTCGAATTCAACTGTAATCAGAATTATCCCCTTTTTTTGTTATATTTATCTATTTATCTTTCTTTTGATAATATTTTCTAAAGGGATTACGATGATATAAAACATATGCCAGTCGTAATCTTGCTGCGGTGATTATGAAAAACAGTTATTTCGGATTAATCCCGGACAAACAAAAGAACTTGATATCCTTATGTTCCAAGTTGCTTTTCATTTTTAGGTGCTCGTGATTCCTCAAAATGGCGTTTGATATGGAATGCGAGAAGGATCCGGGGTGGCAGTATTTGCGGCTTTCCCGGGAACAAATGGCTAAAGTTAGCATTATGAGCCCAATCTTCAATATTTATCTCCTAACAAGATCACACAATTGACAGCTTTAGTTTGAGGGGAATAGCAATCATATAGCACACTAAAACAAGTGTTTAGGCGGTAACGTAGAGAAAAATTTTCTGGTACGACTGATGACAAATAGATCCTTTTGCAAGAACTATTTTTACGGCTAACATTATTGAGCTTTGGTTACGACGTTGTCTTAGCAATTTAAAAGGGAATATGTGGTTAAAAACTGAAAATTAAATCGTAAAAGTCCTATCACGTCGACGTAATACTTCATGAGGGCTGTACAGTAAATTTTTTTCTCGTGTTCTGACACTTGATAAAATGAAATTGCTGTTTGTTCAGGAACAATCGCGTCCTTATGACTCAAAGAAGAATTGCTGGGTGCCCGATCCTGAGGAAGGCTACATTGCTGCTGAAGTCACGAGCACCAAAGGAGACACCGTTACAGTGATCACAGCTCGTGGTAATGAGGTGTGTAAACGTGCTAGTTAGAAGTAAAATGAAAAAGAAATTCTTGAAAAATTAATTGTTTATCAAAGGATGCTATATTTACTACAAAAAACCGGTCTTTCCCATTTTAGCAGACGATGAAAAAAGATTTAACTCAAGAAATGAACCCTCCAAAGTTTGAAAAAACGGAGGACATGTCAAATTTGACATTCCTTAACGATGCATCGGTTTTGCACAACCTTCGATCTCGATATGGTGCCATGTTAATTTACGTAAGTTGTCGTCCGTATAGCTTCAATTAAAAGGGTAATCAAGTTATTCAGCTCACAAAAAGTTTCCTGCCAATCCAGTTTTTGAAGTGACATTCTTCAAAATTATAATATTTCAAAATCTTTCACCCAAACCTTTCATGATAAATTTTGATTTTTCTCAGTTTAGACGTATTCTGGATTGTTCTGTGTCGTAATCAACCCATACAAAAGGCTACCAATTTACACAGACTCAGTCGCAACAATGTACATGGGAAAAAGGCGTACAGAAATGCCGCCTCATTTGTTCGCTGTCTCTGATGAAGCCTACAGAAACATGCTGCAAAATCATGAAAATCAATCCATGCTGATTACCGGTGAATCTGGTGCTGGAAAAACAGAAAATACCAAGAAGGCAAGAAATCACATGCGAAAACTGTTATTATGCGATGCATTTACAATCAAATAAATTAAACCGCAGTAATAATAGGAGGAAACCTAATTTCACTACTTTTTGCCAAGTAATACCGTCGTCTGCCTTTTATAGGTTATTGCGTATTTTGCCGTTGTCGGTGCTTCCCAAAGTAAGTCGCAGGGAGACAAAAAGGTTACATTAGAAGACCAAATTGTCCAAACAAATCCTGTATTAGAAGCTTTCGGTAATGCGCGAACTGTCCGAAACAATAACTCGTCACGTTTCGGTAAATTCATCCGAATCCACTTCTCCAAACTGGGCAAAGTTGCGTCTTGCGACATCGAACATTGTAAGTTTAATCCTGATGATGCACTCTAATAAACATTTCAATCTGATGATCCGGCAAAAAGTTTGTTTGAAAAACACGTTCGATTTGACACAAAGTTTGGAAGCTCACCAAAAAATGGTTTTATTCACGGGAAAATGTTTATTTCTTTTTCAGACCTGTTAGAAAAATCTCGTGTAATTCGTCAGGCTCCTGGTGAACGTTGTTACCATATTTTCTATCAAATATACTCCGACTACCTTCCAAATCTCAAAAAAGATCTTCTGTTGGACAAACCTCTTAGAGAATACTGGTTTGTTGCGCAAGCAGAACTGACTATTGATGGTGTGAATGACAAAGAAGAGCATCAACTTACCGATGAAGCTTTCGACATCCTTAACTTCTCTCCAGAAGAAAAACAAAATTGCTACAGACTTGTTGCTGCCATCATGCATATGGGTAACATGAAATTCAAGCAAAGACCTCGTGAAGAACAGGCTGAACCTGATGGAACAGATGAAGCAGAAAAATCTGCTAATTTATACGGTGTTGATGCTGAAGAATTTCTGAAAGCCCTGACCAGACCACGTGTTAAAGTCGGTACCGAATGGGTTAACAAAGGTCAGAATGTAGATCAGGTCAATTGGGCAGTTGGTGCTATGGCTAAAGGTATCTATGCCCGTATGTTCCACTGGTTGGTCAAAAAATGCAACGCTACTCTTGATCAAAAGGGTATCCCTCGAGACTACTTTATCGGTGTTTTGGATATTGCTGGCTTTGAAATTTTCGACGTAAGTCTATATTATTTTTAGTCGATGTACTAGTATTGTACTAAAGTAGTTCAACCAATTAATATCGTCAGTTGCTATAATGCCTTTTTTGAAAAACCTTCAATGGTAACAAATTTATTTTGACATAATTTAACGCTGTTTAAAAGAAAAAAGACTGAATAGCAAAAAATTTTAAGTTTTAGCTTCAACGCCTTAACTTTTTCAGTTCAACTCTTTTGAGCAACTTTGGATCAACTTCGTAAATGAGAAGTTGCAACAGTTCTTCAACCATCACATGTTCGTCCTGGAGCAAGAAGAATACGCTCGTGAAGGAATCGTTTGGACATTCATTGACTTCGGTCTTGACTTGCAAGCCTGTATCGAGCTGATTGAAAAACCTTTGGGTATTATTTCAATTCTGGATGAAGAATGTATTGTACCAAAGGCTACCGACATGACTCTCGCTCAGAAACTTGTGGACACCCATCTTGGGAAACATCCTAACTTTGAAAAACCTAAACCACCAAAGGGTAAGCAGTCAGAAGCTCATTTCGCTATGAAGCATTACGCTGGCACCGTAAGATACAATGTTACAAACTGGCTAGAAAAGAATAAGGATCCTCTAAATGATACTCTTGTTGCCTGCCTCAAAGCATCCAAAGGAAACAGCTTGCTAAACGAATGCTGGAAGGATTACACAACCCAAGAAGAAGCAGCTGCACAGGCCAAAGGTTTACTTTTAGGCTACTTTGTCTTTAAACTGATAAGCCAATAAACTAGTCTTTTTTTTCTTATCTACAGTTACAAGGGTGCCAAAAGGAAATAAAATTTTGTGTAGTTCAAAAAAACTGTAGATATCCTGCAGATTTTTGAAGTGGTTAAAATGGCGTTCATAACAGTTTACTTCTTCTGTAAGTTATAATTTGGACTCCTAATGTTAGAAGTACTTTTAGAAGGTGGCGGCGGAAAACGTAAAGGCAAATCTGGTTCATTTATGACAGTGTCCATGATGTACCGTGAATCATTGGATAATCTTATGAATATGTTACACAGAACGCATCCACACTTCATCAGATGCATCATTCCAAACGAAAAGAAGACTTCTGGTCTTTTGGACGCAGCTTTGGTACTGAACCAGTTGACATGCAACGGTGTGCTGGAAGGTATTCGTATCTGCCGTAAAGGCTTCCCTAACAGAATGTTACATGGAGACTTCAGAGATCGTTACGCAATGCTTGCCAGCAAAGAGGCAAAAAGCGATCCAGAAGAGAAGAAGTGCGCTGAGGCTGTCCTTAGCAAATTGATAAATGATGGGTCTTTGAAAGAAGAGAACTTCCGTGTTGGTAAAACAAAAGTGTTCTTCAAAGCCGGTATTCTAGCTCATCTTGAAGACCTTCGAGATGAAAAACTGGGACAGATTATCACTGGCTTGCAAGCACAAATCAGATGGTTTTGCACGCAGATCGATTGTCGACGTCGTGCCTTCCAACGAGCTGGACTTGTCACTCTTCAAAGAAACATCCGTGCATGGAGTATTTTACGTACATGGGATTGGTATTTGCTGTACGGCAAAATCAAGCCAATGCTTAAGTGCGGTAAAGAACAGGAAGAAATGGATAGAATGAACAAACAAATCCAGGAACTTGAGCAGAAGATTGCTGAAGAAGAAGCTGCACGTAAAGCTCTTGAAGGAAAATCCACAGAAGCTTTGGAAGAACGAAATAAGGTATTTAGCGAATTGGAAGAAGCAAAAGCGAAGTTGTCAGATGCTGAAGATCGATTGGCTAGGCTTACAACAATGAAAGGGGACATTGACAAACAAATTGCTGTAAGCTCTTTGTTTAATTATTTTTTTGTTCTAAACAGAGTCCCTATTGCCAATGAAAAAATCCTAAGACTCTTTTAGAATATTAAAATTAGTGTTTCTTTTGCCTTTTAATCATTTTTAGTTTTAACACACACAAAGTAATGAATCATTAACGTAGAAAAGATTAAATGTTAAAAAGTAAAATTTCAGGAACTTCGCGACCGCGTAGGTGACCAGGAAGATCGTAATGCTGATATCACCAGAGCTAAAAAGAAGGTTGAATCTGAGGTCGAAAACTTGAAGAAAACAATTGCTGAGTTGGAGGCCCGCCTAGAGAAGACTGATGCGGAAAAGCAAAGTAAGGACCAGCAAATACAGATTTTGCAAGAAGAGATGCAGCAGCAAGATGAACTCATTGCGAAATTGAATAAGGAAAAGAAACATCAAGAAGAAATAAACCGAAAACTTATGGAAGACCTACAATCTGAAGAAGACAAAGGGTCTCATACAAACAAAGTTAAGGCTAAGTTGGAACAGAATCTGGACGACTTGGAAGACAGTTTAGAACGTGAGAAACGTCTACGCAGCGACATTGAAAAACAGAAACGCAAGGTTGAAGGTGAACTGAAAGTTGCTCAAGAAAATATTGATGAGATCAACAGGCAAAAACATGATCTAGAAGGTAATTTGAAGAAGAAGGAGACAGAAGCTCAAGCCATTGCTGTGAGACTCGAAGAAGAACAAGACTTGGTAAACAAGCTGAAGAAACAGATAAAAGAGATACAGGGACGTATTTCTGAACTGGAAGAGGAACTTGAAAATGAACGGCAATCTCGAGCTAAAGCTGACCGCATAAAGAGCGACTTGCAACGAGAACTGGAAGAACTTGGGGACAGATTAGATGAACAGGGTGGAATGACAGCTGCTCAAGTTGAAGTAAACAAGAAACGTGAAGCAGAACTTGCTAAATTGAGGCGCGATCTTGAAGAGGCTAATATGAATCATGAAAACCAGCTTGCTGCTATTCGTAAAAAGCATAATGACTCTGTTGCTGAACTTGGGGATCAAATAGAGCAAGCACAAAAGCAGAAAGCTAAAATTGAGAAAGAAAAAGCTCAGGCCCAGCGTGATGCAGAGGACATCCACGCACAAATTGAATCTGAATCTGCTAGCCGCATGAACAGCGAAAAACTTGCTAAGCAGTATGAAATGCAAATATCTGAACTGCAAGCAAAGTGTGACGAACAGACCCGTCAACTACAGGAGTTTGCATCACTGAAGACCCGACTCACTGGAGAAAATAGTGATATAGGCAAACAGATTGAAGAAGCAGAATCACAGGTGAAACAAAAAAATTATTTTTCATATCGCTTCCAAGTGAAAATTAGAATTTGAAACCTTTTTAATTCCAGGTTAACGCCATGACACGACTGAAGGCACAACTAACATCACAGCTAGAAGAAGCCAGACAATCACTTGATGAAGAAGCCCGAGACCGCAATGCTTTGGCAGCTCAAGCTAAAAATTATCAGCACGAAATTGATCAACTGAAGGAGTCAATGGAAGAAGAAATTGAGCAAAAGAGTGAAATATTACGTCAGTTGAGCCACGCAAATGCTGAAATTCAACAGTGGCAGACTAAATTTGAAAGTGAAGGACTTCTGAAAGCTGACGAATTGGAGGAAGTGAAAAAGAAGCAGGTTGCAAAGATCAATGAGCTACAAGAAGCTCTAGACGCAGCAAACTCTAAAATCTCTTCTCTAGAAAAAACAAAATCTCGCCTGGTATCCGATCTGGATGATGCTCAGGTGCGCAAGAACCATTTTTACATTGCAAACTTTGTTTCACGGACAGCAAATTTTGCGCGTTTTAAGAAACACTGTTCAAATAATAGTAGGTAAAAACATAAAAGAATAAAATTTTCTAAGCTTTAATTCAAATTATGCATTTAAGGTTGACGTCGAGAGGGCAAACACTTTCGCAAGTCAGCTGGAGAAAAAACAAAAAGGTTTTGATAAGATCATTGACGAGTGGAGGAAAAAGTGCGATGATCTTGCTGCTGAAGTTGATAATGCGCAAAGAGAAGCTCGGAATGTTTCTACTGAACTCTTTAAGCTTAAGAGCGAACAAGATGAAGTTCTGGAGGTTATTGAAGGACTTAGAAGAGAAAACAAGTCATTGAGCCAGGAAATCAAGGATCTAACAGACCAACTTGGTGAGGGTGGCCGATCGGTCTTTGAGATGCAGAAGATCATTCGAAGACTAGAAGTTGAAAAAGATGAACTTCAACATGCACTTGACGAAGCTGAAGCTGCTCTTGAAGCTGAAGAAAGCAAAGTTCTTCGCGCTCAAGTCGAGGTTTCACAGATCAGAGCTGAAATTGAGAAACGTATCCAAGAGAAGGAGGAAGAATTTGAAAACACCCGTAAGAATCACCAGAGGGCAATTGAGTCAATGCAGGTAATTGTCCTTTCTTAACATTTCTGATCTTGAGCTCTTTTCCCACAAATGTGCCTAAACCAGAATCTTTAGAGTATATACAGAAAAGATGTGGAGTGAAAAGAATAGTTTAATAACCAACGTTTTCAGGCCTCGTTAGAAAACGAATCAAAAGGCAAAGCAGATTTACTGAGACTTAAAAAGAAGCTGGAATCTGATATTAACGAACTCGAAATTGCACTCGATCATGCTAACCAAGCGAATGCCGATGCGCAGAAGAATTTGAAGAAATACCAAGACCAAATTAGAGAGCTCCAGCAACAAGTAGAACAATGAGACATTTTTTCTTTTTTTATGTATAAAACAGGAAAGGAGAGCATTTATATACCAAATATATTTTTTCAGGTTGAAATTGAACAGCGCAACCGTGAAGAAATTCGTGAGCAGTACCAGAACATGGAAAAGAAGGCAACAGTGTTGCAATCGGAAAAAGAGGAGCTTATAGTCGCAATGGACCAAGCAGAAAGAGCTCGTAAACAAGCCGAACGTGAAGCCGGTGAAGCCCATTCACAATGCAATGAACTTGCAGCTCAAACAGAATCTCTGAACGCAGCTAAGAGGAAATTAGATGCTGAACTTCTTGCTATCCAGGGAGATTTGGATGAAACATTAAATGAATATAAAGGGTCAGAGGAACGTAGCAAGGCAGCTATGAATGATGCAGCAAGATTAGCTGAGCAGCTGCGGCAAGAACAAGAAAGTACCCAGCATACGGAGCGTATGCGCAAAGGCTTAGAATTGCAGTTAAAGGAGATGCAGGTAATAGTAGAGTTTTAAAAAATCATTATTGTCATTGATTATTAAAAGAAGGATGGTAATTTGCAAAAACTAAAAAAGTAATATTAAAGGCGCGGTTAGACGAAGCTGAAGGAGCAGCACTCAAAGGAGGAAAGAAAGTTATTGCTAAACTAGAAAGCCGTATTCGTGAGCTTGAAAACGAACTTGACGGTGAACAACGACGCTACCAAGACAGCACTAAGCTTCTTAATAAACATGATCGCCGTATTCGTGAACTTCAGTTCCAGGTAACGTTACATTTAACGTAACATGCTCTGAAAAAAGAATTTAGAGCTTGAAAAAAATTTGTAAATTCTAAATGAAGCACTGTTAAATTTCACCAAAATACAGTTGCAAAATTTAGGTCGACGAAGACAAGAAGAACGCCGAACGTACCCACGATCTCATTGAAAAACTTCAAAATAAGCTCAAAGCTCAGAAGAAACAGATAGAGGAAGCTGTAAGTTATTGGTGCACTTACATTCATTATATGGGTAGAGGGAGATCACTGCAATACTGCGTACAAAGCATTTATAACTTTGACATTCAAATGAAAGTGTTGGAAGGGTTAAGATAACTGATTTCAGGAAGAACTGGCAAACCTGAACCTACAGAAGTTCCGCCAAGTACAGCACCAGCTTGACGATGCGGAAGAGAGAGCCGATCATGCTGAGAATTCCCTATCTAAGATGCGAGC